TTCGTTCGCTGCTCACTTGGTCTCGTCCTCCTCCTCTTTCCGCTGGACATGGTAGAATTTTCATTCGTTATTCCGTCGGGTAGCCCTCCCGAACAGTCTTCCTCGAGTGTTCCTCGAGAAAGGGGAAACTGGATGAAAGAGGGGGGAGGCGTCTGGTGTCGCGATGGAACGTCAAGCAAGACGTTGGAACGGCTCGGGGTGTTCCTGGTCGACGCGATGGAAAGGACTCGCGCGACTTGGCAGATGGCTCCCGAGCAGCGGATAGCTGTCGCGCTCGTTGGAGTGACGTCGAAAAAGGAACGGCCAGGGAGAAGAAGGAAAAGCACGGCAGTTATCACGACACTTCGCGGCGACGTGTCCGTTGCCCTCAGCGGGGACGCGTGTGTGCACGCACGACACTGTAAAATTACCGCGTCAAAAACAATTACGTTACAGGCGAACAGTTCGCGGCAACCCGTCCTCCATGAACGCACAGACAATGAGGATAACCAAAGCTTTCGCCGAAATGCTTCGCGCCCGTCTTCCCTCGTCCCTCCGCCTCTTAACCTCCCTTCTTCGGATTTCCCCCGCGTTCGGTTCTCGCAGGCGAGGTAATTGCGACGATGGATCATGAGAGACGATAAAGCGCGTTAATGAACGTTAAACTGTGTGGCCGGGATTGGTCGGAAAATGTGGGAAAAAAGCGGACCCTTTTTACGGTGTATCGTGCAATTATCAGGGTGCGTCGAGAGTGTCGGCGTGGCGCGTGAAATATTCGCGAGTACGGTGATGCTGGAGCAGCAGGGTGCTCGATAATATCAACGATGTTGGCTCACTCGTGGGGCGGAATGAACCGGGCTCTGCCGAACGGGGACAGGGGATGCCGGTGGTGGTGCACCGTTGTCGAGTGGAAAGGGGTCCAATCAATCAGCCGCAAATCAGTATGCACGGCACGTTCGCCTAATGCCGCCACTCTTTCATCATATTCATTTGATCGCGACCCCCTCGGCTTGTGCACGCAATCGTTAATGGCGCTGTTTAAAGATCGCTACCGATCGATGACGAAACCCACCGCGAGATCCGACCAATATTTCCACGCGTCCATCTCTCTCTCTCTGGATATCGCGCAGACGACGGACTATTTCGGACGGGAAAGACGACGTGGCGCGGCCCGTTGCCGCGTGTGAAGCGTTAAACAGATTACGGACAACAGACGGCGCGTTGCCAGAAGGCAAATACGTCTTTGGCTCCGACTGGCACGAGATCGAGATGGCAGCGACCAGAGAACCGGGCAAATACGTAATCCGGATTACGGTGGATCCGCTTAGCTTACCGGACACTTGCGAGGTGGAACGATACGGCGCCGATACCACCTCTCTCTGCCGCGTTATCCTTCCACTACTCTCCGACAACTTTTTAAGAGGATTGCTCTCCTAAGCCTTAATATTTTTAACGAGCGGTTCTGTCGATCGATGCCCTCTATGTATCTCTTGGTTCGAGCAGAAAAAACACCTCCAAAATTCACCCGAACGTAATCCTCGAGAGCGCGTAGGTAGAGTTGCGAACCTCTGCTTTTCTTCCCAACGATCCACCCAAGACTCGCCACTCTCTCTCTCTCTCTCTCTCTCTCTCCCTCCGAATTGGTATCGCGAAACGATCGCGACGAATCGACGTTAACAAAGCATAGGAAGAAGAGTGTACGTGGATGCGACGAGGAGAATCATCGAGGCGTAAGTCGCAGGAAGCAAATAGAAAATGAGGAGAGCGGCGGCGGCGGCGGAGGCGGAGGCGGAGGCTCGCGGAGCGAGGGGTAGGTCCAATTTAAGCCGAGCCCACAGCGCAAAAATGCTTCGGAAGGCTCTGGCTCGGTTCATTAAATGGAACCCAATAGCGGTTGTTTGCGTTGCCAGACAGCGAATCCGTCGCAAATTGAATGCCATATTGCATACGTTCCGCCTGTGCTTCGTCTGTACGAGGCTCTGTAGCCTCCATTGCTCCCGTGGCTATTATGCTTCCAATTTATAGAAAATGAACGGATTTAATATCCCGTCGAAATGAAATAAACGACCGGCCAGACGCGCACCTATCGACGCCGGTACCTATCCACCCGATCGACCCGAATTTTCCCAAAGTGTCGGCGAATATTCCGCAGCTGTGGAAGAACGCCGCGCCGGGCGAATATCGCGACGATACGGCGCGCAGTTAAAACACAATTACCGGCACACCCCCGTCGCACGAACCCCCCGGACAGACCGCCGCGGTCGTACCGCGCTGTCAAAATAGATAACGCACGGGGTAAGTCACCCCGAAGTTAAAACCCGTCCCTGCACCGAGCTATAGGTCCATTCACTTTGGGTTAACGTCGACAAAGGGTGTAACGAGGGGGGAGGCTGGCTACGGGAGGACCATGATACGCCCCGTGTGCACGTTTCGGGGCTGCCGATATTGCCGCTGTCGGGGGTGCCGGTGACGTCACGGCTGATTAACATAAACGATTCGAACTGCCGTCGCGATTACACCTTTACCCTTTTTCGCGTCCCTCCTTTTCGAGGAAAAAGGAGAAAGACGGGAACGCGATGAAATTTCAAGAAGAGAGAGGATGCGCATTTTACGATCCGGGATAAGCGTCAACCTATCCATTACGCCGCTACTCGATCACCGTAACTATTTCGCGTGACGTCATTACCTTTATTATTATTCTATATATAGCGAGGAGGTACACGAGTTGCGTACTTATTACGCTCGAGTTTGCTTCGTTTTATTCATCCGGTTGTTGTATCGTTTCTTCCTTCCCTTTTTTCTCTCTCCTTCTTTTCTCTTCTCCACCATTCACAACCCCTTTCGGAATTTACGAGGCTCCGCTACGACTTCCTCGTGACGCCGGCGACACGACCGCGAGGACTTAAACGAATTATGCAGCCATTCTTTACCGCCTCGTCTTTCGGTAAGAGCACTCAATCCCGATTTACACCGCGTCGTTCGCGGTTGCATGCAGCTCGCGCGAACGCTTGCCACCACCGTGGATCGGTGCAATTTCGCACACGCGTTCCGCGAATCAGTTCCCACGTGCCGTAAAAGCCGAACGCCGCCGTTAAACGAATCGATGCACAATAGAGATAGACAGCAATAAGACGACGCTATTACCGAGCTGTCTTTACGGCGCGATACGTTCGAGCAGATTTACCAATTACGCGGAAATACCGAACATTTTCCCAGATGGAATCTCGCCTTCGATATTTACACGGCATTTTGGTATTTTGCAGGATCGGACTCTTTTACCAATTACGCGGAAATACCGAACATTTTCCCAGATGGAATCTCGCCTTCGATATTTACACCGCATTTTGGTATTTTGCAGGATCGGACTCTCTCTCTCTCTCTCTGTGCTCCACCTCCGGAGGAATCCACAGGAGAGGCGTTGGGGGGCACAAAGCCCCTCGAAGATACTCGCGCGCGATCGGGAATCGTGTTACGAGGAACACGCGTACCGGGACTGTCGTATCGAGGCATCGCGGGGATCCCATGCATTCCGCGATCTTGCATTACAATTGCTAATAAACGCCCTCTCCTGGCCCTCTGCTCGTTCTACCGGTTCCTCCATTCGACTTGGCCGCTTCTACCCAGAAACTCTCTCTCCTCTTCGTCGATTCGCATTCGCCGCGTAACCACGGAATCCGAGAGAGCGCTCTCTCGGAAGTCGTGTCGCAGCTTTCGCGCCCTTTTCGTGGCCTCTTGCGCACGAGAGCCGAGTTAGGCTCGCCAATCTGGCGCGAGCGCGCTCGGCCGTTTTCGCCGTGGCTCGGGGGATTCGCGCGCGCACAACTTTCGTGGTTTCGTTATCCAACAAGTGTCGGGTGCGCGGGCCCGGGGGGGGGCGGGCGGGGGGGGAGGGGGGGGGGGGGACGAGAAGGAGGAACAAACGTAGCCATTATAATAGATATGTTAGCATGCAAACGTTGTCTTTTATACGTTTGCCGGTACGCGGTAGTGGTGGCGATCTCTCAGGTGCGTGCACCTTCCACGTGGCACCCGATGCACCCTCACCGATACCTCTCGCCGAACCGCGATGGACAGGTCTGCTTGGAGAACGATCGGTGCACGCTGGCGAAGCGCACTTGTCCTGAAACGTTTAGGGAGAAAGGAGAAACGGACGGTCGACGGATACGTCCCTGGGGCCCCGCGAGGTAAACGTTTGGCGGCGAGTGCGGCGCGAGAGGGGTACGCGTCGGTCGGTGTTGTCGGGTTGTTGCGGGAGGGGAAGGTTGGTCGTCGTCGTCGTCGTCGTCGTCGGCGGAGGCGGTGGCGGCGGCGGCGGCGGTGTCGGTGTCGGTAGCGCTGTCGGTTCGTTCTCGCTCTGGGCGGCGGGGGAGGGGTATGGAGGATGAACGGCTCGGTGAACGGCTGGGGAAGGGAGAGGCGCGGGATCGGAACGTTCGAGGGAACGGCGTGCGGCACGGAGGGAGGGGCGGCGGTGGCAGGGGTGTAGCTACTTACCATACTCCCAGTATACCAAAGTCCCGCGGCCGACTCGCTCCGCGGCAGATAGCAGTCGCTAGCACACCACGCTTCTCAGTGGCGCACCGGGGAAACGGAGAAAGGCCCGTGCCCTCCTCGCGAAAATGCAAGGAAATCCACGTGTTCGTGGACCGCGGGACCGCTGCCGCCGCCGCCGTGGGCAAAAAACTCGGGTCCTGCATCGCCGTTTACACCGTCCGTATCTACGTGTACCCGTGATTTCCAGAGGATCCCCGTGGATGGAGAAATCGACGAGGGAGGAGCCCGACGAAGGAGAGAGGATCGGAGAGAGCGCGGAGAGAGCACGGAGAGACGACGAGCACCACGGGCACGAGTACACCGGCAGAAGAACCAAGAGAGAGACGCGCGGTTCCGGTCACGTCGGTCACGTGGTCGCCGATCTCGC